AATCAGTAAATGACTCATGTATGTTATAGCCAATCAATATGTTGTCACACTCCTGCCTAGTGACCAAAAAAGACATAAAAACTGCCTACTTTGGAAACTTGGGGTCATTCTCTTCCCAGGGAACGTTGGAATAAAATCCTTTTGCTTTTGCATGGAACTTGAGTCCTGTGAGTGACTCTGTGGGTTGCATCTCCCGGAGTTGGACTTCACTTTTGGGTCCAACAGTTTCTCTTATTGGTTAATGAATAAAACACTGACTGGCTGATTGGCCAGACAGGAAGTGGTGTAGCTGTGCAGATTCGGGGTATAAGCAGGGACAAACAGGAAATTGCTCTCTTCTCTGTGGAGACGATGAGCAGTCATCATGTAGCAAGCAAAGGAGTTACAGGTCCAGCATTCCCCAGTAAGATAAAACCACTTGGAAATACTTAGATTAAGTCAATAAAAAACCCTAGTCACCAGTCAATAGTTTAATAATTTGAAAAAAAAAAGAAAGAACTTCTACATGTTGTCCTCTGACTGACACAATGCACCCACCCCCACATACAAATACAATTAGACATTAACAAAAATTCCTTTTTCTTTGTAAACATTTGTTTTTAGACAACTCTAGGAAGAATGCTATTAGAGAAAAGGAATGATTACAAACTGGTTATTTTTAACACCTCTGAATGTTTTTTTTTCTTTTTCTTTGTTTTGTTTTGTTTTGTTTTTGTTTTTCGAGACAGGGTTTCTCTGTATTGTTTTGGAGGTTGTCCTGGAACTTGTTCTGTAGACCAGGCTGGCCTCAAACTCACAGAGATCCGACTGCCTCCCCAGGGCTGGGATTTAAGGTGTGAGCCACCAACGCTGGTCTATTTTTTCTTTCTTTCTTTCTTTCTTTCTTTCTTTCTTTCTTTTTTTTTTTTTTTTTTTGGTTGTTGTTGGTTATTTTTGGTTGTGTTTGTTTTTCAAGACAGGGTTTCTCTGTGTAAGAGTCTTGGCTGTCCTGGAACTTGCTTTGTAGACAGGCTGCCCTTGAGCTCACAGAGATTCTCCCCTGCCTTTGCCTCCTAAGTGCTGGGGTCAAAAGTGTGTGCCACCACACATGGCTACACCACTGAATTTAATTTGTAATTTCCAAGAATTGTACATGTCAAGTTATAAAACACACACACACACACACACACACACACACACACACACACACCCTAGTTATTGAGTTAGTCTATGAAGCATGTTGATCAGATAATTGTAAGAACTATTTGTGACCAATTAACATAGAATTTAATTAGTTCAGCTGGCCTTCCTTTTCTACTGATTACACATACACAACAAGCTGTAGCATTTATTTGCAACCCCCCACACAATTAAATTATGAACTATATTCTAAAATTTTAAATCTACTATTGGTTACTATTATGTTGTTTCTAGAAGTTGTCAAATTGTTAAGTCTGGCCCCTCCCACCTGTGTTTCCTGTGTTTGGGTTAGTGTTTTCCTGGTTTAGTGAGTAGATTGGAAACTGGCAAAAAGAGTAGGCAATTGAGGTGTAACCCAGGTGTCAGTGAGAGATGCTGAAATAAGGGTAGTTTTAAAGCAAGTGAGGTCTTCAGAGCCATGATCAAGGAAGGCAAAGACTGAGTCCCTGACTAAGGCAGAAGGGAGCTTGGCATAATTGCCAATAAATGAGGTGGTGTGGAATAACTAATGACTAACGGGGAGGAAAATGGAGCCCAGCCAAATGAGCCTGTTTTGCCCATAGTTACACAATTAACTTAAAGCATAACAAATTCTTTTCTAGGGTTTTTTTTTTTTTTATGGAAATTCCAGGGCTAGAAAAGTAGCCCTAGATGGTAAAATATTGCCCACAAAAACCTAAGAACCGGATTCAGTTCCCTGCACCCACATAAGTCAGGTATGGTATTGTGCCTGTGTAATCACAGTGCTGTGATAGCACAGATGCGTAGATCCCTGGGGCTTGCTGGCCAGGAGCACAGCCATCTGTGATGGAGGCCAGGGAGAGACCATGTCTCAAAAACAAGATGAATGATGCCTGAGTAACAACTCCTGAGATGTCCTCTAGCCTACACACACACACACACATTAAAAAAAAAATATTTTAAAATAAAAGAGTAGGCTGGGCATTGGTGGTGCACACCTTTAATCCCAGCACTAGGGAGGCAGAGGCAGGCAGATCTCTGTGAGTTTGAGGCCAGCCTGGTCTACAGAGTGAGTTACAGGACAACCTCCAAAGCAATACAGAAAAACCCTGTCTCAAAAAACCAAAAAAATAAAAATAAATAAATAAATAAATAAATAGAGTAGTTGTTGCAGTTTAGGATATTTTGAATCTTTATTTCTTCACAGATCTTGGTATATACCCTTTTTTGTGTGTGGGAGGGCAAGGCCTCACACTGACAAAGCCAGCTGCAAATACTCGTTCCGTCATAAGGCCCTCACTGATGACAGCAGGTTCTGTCACTGTGCCTCCTGGATTCAGCTGTATTCTTTTGGATACTTCAGAAGTCTATTAGTAAAAACAAATGAGTTGGGTGTAATGACTCATTCCTGCAGACCCAATTCTCAAGGGCCTGAAGCAGGAGGATTATGAGAAGTTCAAGGCTATCCTGTGCTACAGAATGAGACTAAAAACAGCAAATCAAAGGTCTGAGCCTCAACATTTTAGGTTATTTTAAAACCGTCAGTGGGATTTACTGGTATGTTTGAGTTTTGTTATATTTTGGTTTTGACACATGGTACTTGTATCACAGGCTGGCTTCCAGATCACTATGTAGCTTGGATGACCTTGAACTTCTGGTCCCCCTTAACCTCTTACTGATTCTTCTAACTTTGTCCTGACCACTTCATACCTTCACATTTGTTATGTGAAGTTTTATACTAGGCACTGCTGATGGTGCAGTATTGAACAAAACAACTATGTTAGGAGACAGGGGTTTAACCACTCACACAGGCTCTGGGTTCCGCCCTCAGCATCAAAACAAAACCAGATGGGTGTGACATTGTAGTGTCTGTTCTGTGCTTTGTCGTGGAAAGGAAACCCCACTCCCATGTCCAGAGTTTTAGCACATAGAACTCCCTGGCACCTAGATCTCTCAAGTGCCCAGGAAGGAAACAACAGCAAATGAACAAAGAAAGAACCAAAGGAATCAGTTATGGGATGTAGTGTGGGGAAGCTGTTAGCAAGTCAGGCTTGGTGACACTTGCACTTGAGAGGCTGGAGCAAGAGGATTGTGAGTTCAAGGCCAGCCTGGCATACATAGTGAGACCCTGTCTCAAAGACAAGGAAAACTCTTTGGAAT